CTCGAGTTTTTCTTTTTTATGTACTTCGAGTTTAGCCCTCAGCGGAAATGGGTGTAGCATGGAAGTGGTTTGGGCGTAGTCGGGGCTTAACTCGAGAAAGGGGCTTAACTCGAGAAAGGGGCTTAAGTCGAAGGGCTTAACTCGAGAGGCTTAATTCGACGATTTGCTACTCCTTTGCGCTTCTATTCTATTATATTTTTATTATTGATAATTTAGTTCTCTAAAATGGCTTTTCAGAAATAATTACAATCTTAAAAGAAAGATTAATTACGTATTTACATTGAGTTTATTAGAAGACTTATATATATTTAATTTAATTTAAAATGAAATTTATATTGCGCCAATTACATAAAAAATTATCAAAGGCGCATTACAGGTGAATGAGAATAAAATATTACAATAATCAGAAGATATCTAAGCATTAAAAGCACGGTTAAAAAGCAGAGTCTTGATATTGCTCTTGAAGGTTGATAATGAATGCGTGGCCCTAATAGCCTTAGGCGAAGAGTTCCATAGTTTGGGGGCTGCAGATCCAAATGCTCTATCTCCCAATGTCACAAGTGATTTGCCAGGTGGTGGTACTAGTAAGGTCTCTTCATTATTACGTAAATTGTACCTTGAGGGCTTTTTAACGTTTACAATGTCGCAAATATAATCAGGTGCAATACCATGAATTGCCTTGAACGTGATTAATAAGACCTTAAATTCGATACGATAATTAATCGGAAGCCAGTGGAGACTACAAAGTACAGGTGTAATGTGGCAAAATCTAGGTAGTTTACAGATAAGCCTGGCCGCAGCATTCTGCACCCGTTGTAATTTGGCCAGCTGATATTGCGGCAGTCCAAACAGCAAACTATTGCAGTAATCCAACCTTGTGGTGATAAACGCGTGAACCAGAATTTCCGCTGACTCAGGTGATAGGTATTTTCTAATTCTTCTAATTAATATTATGGAGATGATAAAAAGCTGTTTTGCATACTTTATTAATGTGCGTTTCCATGGTGAATCTTTCATCAAACCAGGATCCTAGATTTCTAACAACTTTCGACTTATCCACGACTAAATCACCAATTTTGATCTGAGAAATATTCACTTTGGCAAGTTGCTGTTTAGTACTTATAATGAGGAATTCGGTTTTGTCATCATTCAATAAGAGTCTGTCGTTTCTCATCCATGAGTGGATGTAACGTATACAGTTTTCCATCGCAGCTAGGGCTTTGTTCTGCTCCATATAGCTATCAGGCTTAAATGCCAAATATAGCTGGGAGTCATCTGCAAAGCAGTGAGCATCTGGAAGATGCTTTTCGATGATGTCAAACAGTTTAGATGCGTAGATGACGTAAAGAGCTAGATGCATGGGCTTGACAGTGAACCACGCAAGAATCCTAGGTTTGACAATTTCTAAAGATCTAAAATGGAACCAACACATAACTAACATAGTTAAGAAGGCGAACAAACGGATTTATTTTATTATTCAGTTGAAACGTGCTCATGTACCTGAAGCTGACATAATACATTTTTACACTACCTGCGTCAGACCAGTCATGGAATTCAGCTGTCAAGTTTTCCACTTCGCCCTTCCTTCCTACTTATCTAATGCCCTGGAACGGGTTCAAAAGCGTGTTTTATCAATCATCTATCCACTGACAGGTTATGCGGATTGTTTACAAAAATCGGGCATCAAACCATTAAGTGACAGGCGTGTGGATGCATGCGAGAAACTGTTTAATGAAATCACCACAACACCAGTAGCTAATATGCATAATCATGTACCATCTAGATGCTTTCCAAATTACGACCTTAGACACTCAAGGTCTTTTGTTGTTCCTCAGACCAAAACGAACAGATTTAGAAACAGTTTTTTCCCTTCATCTGCAAGGCATATCAATAATATTAACTGACAATCGATTCTGATATTCAGTTTTAGACTGGCTAACTTTTTTTTAGAAATTTACTAGTTTCATAGCTAATTTGTAATGTAACTTTAAACTTCTGTAATATAGAATTATAAATTGTAATGTAATTTTAAACTTCTGTAAATATAGAATAACTAATTTAATCATTTCTCTTGTAAAATTTAGCACGCAATTCAGCCTCTTGGCTGCTATGTGTTAATCTTATTAAACAAACAATCTATCTATCTATCTATCTATCGTAGATGACGTAAAGGGGACCAAGGCAAGAACCCTGAGGAACTCCACAACTTAACTGAAAATAGTTTGATAGAACACCTGAGATAGGTACGAAGTGCGTGAGGTACGAGGCAAACCAATCTAGAGGTTTACCAGTGATAGTGAAGCCCATGGGCGTACCGGAAAGAAAAAAATAGGGGGGCGGAAAGAAATTTGCCCGACTTTTCGGGCTTGTGCCCGACTAGTACCTAAAAATTTTTTTCCGGAAAAATTATTTCGGCGACCTCCCATCCCCCCCCCGTCGCCAAAAAAATTTCGGTCAGTGTACCATTTTAGGAGTCAAAAAAATTTTCCGGACATACCAAAATTTTTCGGAACATCACACAAATTTTCGAAATAAGACATAATTCACCACAAAATTGACTGAAATTTCGACTAAATTGACAGAATTTGTCCCTTTTATTTTTATTATACACCAAAATTGCCCAACTGGTGATCGAATGGTACGCCTATGGTGAAGCCTACTCAGACAAATCGACCGGTACGCCTATGGTGAAGCCTACTCAGACAAATTTCGTGGTCTACTGTGTCAAAGGCGGCACTAAGATCTAGCAATACTGCAATACTACAATAACAAAATGTACATTTGTTTATGGCTATAATAAAGCAATTATTGCTACAATCCTAAAATACCAAATTATTATGAGTTGTTCAAGCACTCTTTATACAGTATCTCTCTTACTAGTTTTTTTAAAAGCTCCAATACTTGACTATCTTTAATGTTATTGTCAAAATCCTTTCATAATTTGGTTGCTCTATATTAAAAAGAGTGCTGACCACAAGCTGTCCGATAAAATGGGATATTTAACTCGTCCAATTGTCTTGTCACCCGACCATGTGTCTGGGATCTAGATGTGAATCTTCTTACAAGGTATGGTGGTACTAATCCTCTAAGACATTTATAAGCCATAACAGAATCTTTATATTGCAGCACATAAGAAACAGGTAGCCAGTTCAGTTGTTGTAGCACGGGTGTTATAAGATCATACTTTCTCGTGCCTGTGATAAATCGTGCAGCAAAATTCTTCACAGTTTATAGTTTGGCAATATTTTTCTTAGACGTATTTGCCCACACAGATGAACAATAATAAAGTTTCCTGAAGACCAAGGCGTTTATGATCACAATCAAGGTGCGGCTGTCTAAAATATGTTTAACTCGATTAATCTGGCAAAGAAACTTTGTACATTTTGAGACGACTTGAGTAATATCACAGGGAGCCCAAGCGTTGATCTGTGTTAGTGTTGTATGTTTTTAGTTTATTTATTTTAGTGTCTTTATATTGCCTTTTAATTGAATTATAACACTAAATTACACTAATATGTCATATAATAATAATACTCCTATATTCGAACATATAATAACAACATATAAGTTGATTTGTATTTGTATGTTTTTCAGTTTATTTATTTAAGATCTATTATTAGCTTATATAAAAGCACCGCCTTTCGAATCTGACAGACCGTTCGCAGGATACACGCGTTATTTCGCACTGAAATAAGAAATGTAACAAGGGACGGAATTACAACACGGCGATGTTTTATTTTGAAGCCGTATGTGCTTGTTAAAACGAATTTTAGCTTGAAATTCGGCCACATGATATGTCTAAGGCTAAAGTACATAGCCATTGCAGAATTTTGTGAAATAAAAGCCCTAGAGTCATATAAATTGCTATAGTTTTTAATAGCGACGTTTTGTAGCATTAACGCCGCGACTTGACTGGACCTAATGTATTTAATTTTTAATTTTAAACATTGAAACCGTACGCGTTACGGTCGACACAAATTGACTTCTCACCTTGAGTTGTATTCGAGTTTGCTTCCTTGTTTATATTATTGATTCCTAAATGTTGACGGCGTTATTCGACACGACACTCATTGCATAATTATCGGTCCACTTAAGTCGGAGCATTCATAATACGACAAACTTTAAGAGTTTCATCCCTTGTCACGTATTTATATTGTTGCCGCCCCATATTTCAAATCTCTCGCGTTTTCTGCGAACGGGCTGTCAGGTTAGAAAGGCGGTGCTTTTACACTAAAGCTAATAATAGATCTTAGATAAATAAACTGAAAAACATACAAATACAAATCAACTTATATGTTGTTATTATATGTTCGACTATAGGAGTGTTATTATTATTATTATATGACATATTAGTGTAATTTAGTGTTATAATTCAATTAAAAGGCAATATAAAGACACTAAAATAAATAAACTGAAAAACATTCAACACTAACACAGATCAACGCTTGGGCTCCCTGTGGTAATATGCTCATCATAGCTCAGACATTCATCAAATTCCGTTCCTAAATCTCGAGCTGAAGATACCGATCGTAGTTCCTTCTCAAGGAAAGTCACTCGAAAGTCTTGTACATGATTGAGCATTTGTGTTGTACCAAGCAGAAGAAGCTTAGTCTTTTCGCGATTGGCAAGTAGGCTATTTGAGCAACATCAAGCAGCGATTCTCCTCAGATCGTCTGTAAGCTGAATTTCAGCAACATTAATGTCTTTGTATGAGAATGACAAGTAAATCTTAGAGTCATCTACATACGATTCTAAAGGACATACTATAGGAGTAGTTGGAAGATCGTTTATATAAATACTAAACAACGCTGGACCAAGTATTGTTACTCGACGATTTGTCTGCAATGCACTTTATTTTCTTTTTTTTTTACTACAAGAAGTATTTATCAACATCAGTTATTCTCTGTAATTAAATGGCTATCGTAACACACACAAAACTAAAATTTGATAAAGTTGATATTCCGAACTAGAAGACATCTTAATTGCAAGCAGGTGCCATCTGCTGTCAGAAAATGTAGTGTTTAGAGGACGTACAAGACGCATAACTCAATTGCAGAATTTACAGTCAAGGCACAGCCGTTGTTCTGAATATACTATCGTGATACTTCCAAGCTAGCGCGTGTTATATCGTGACTGACAATAATGTCAAAGATGGAACAAATTGTTAGCGCTGCACTCTTTGGGATCATTTCAGTTGTCACTTTAACAGGCAATATCCTTGTGGTTGTTTTGTTTATAAAGAGACGAGACTGGCTTAAGAACGCTCATACATGTCTTTTACTGGCGCTAGCTATTCAGGATATTATAATAGCAATCAACCTGTCGGTGTTACCGGGATTTGCTTTGCCTGCAGACGTCTACGACCTTCCTACACATCCGAAATTGAGAGAGTTGTATTGCTCGTTAGTATGGTCATGGTACGTTCCATTCGCCTTATCCGTTGCATCTATCTATACATGTCTTATGTTGGCTGTAGATCGCTTACTTGCGGTTTGGAAACCTTCGACCTACAAACGCTTCTGTAGCTCCGCAAAAATTATCGCAACCATGGTAATTCTTCCCTGGATTGCAGGCTTTGGATTTGAAATAACAACGGTATTGAATACTCAAAGTTCAAGGAAGGATAACGGGTCTTATGTGTGCATGCGAGTGCAGGTCGGGAGATCACCTGAAAATATGATGACATCCTTGTTGTTATTTATTGCAAAGGGTTTTTTTCCCGGAGTGCTGATGACTATAGCCTATGGAAAAATGATGATCACGATAAAGCAATCTTCCTTAAGAGTGTCGTGCAACACAACTGGTGCAAGTCATCTTAGTCGTAATAAAATTAAATCCGATCTAGCATTGAGAAGGATCACGCGAATGGTTTGCGCGGCCTCTGCTCTTGTGGTAATTTGTTGGCTACCAGATCGAATCTATTTTTGCCTTTTTGAGTTGAATTTCATAGAAATTGATAATTCTATGCACAATGGATTCCATATCTTGGCATTTTTAAATACCAGCCTCAATCCTGTCCTTTACAACTTCTCCAATAAGCAATATAAGGATGAGTTTAAAATTATTTTGTGTTCCTTGTTTCGTCGAAATCCTGCCAGCACAAAGACTAAAGATAGCTGTACACATCATAATAGGCAAGAAAGGGTTGGCTTTGACAATATATCAGAGAGTAATAGGAAACAGTATGTGTCTTCAGTATAGCCCGGTGACTCACTTTGTGTTATGTACGAGTGAATGGAAATGTATTAAAAATAAATAATCAACTTTCGTAACTGGACTTAGCAACTTATTTATAGTACATGATTTTAAGGAGTTTAAAGCATGGAGAAATTTGAAATAAATGCATAGTAAATTGTACTTCGATCGAAATGAGAACAAAGTATAAACTTCACATAGTCTTTCTCTTGTGCTGCTTTAGTTGTTATTGCATCGTCAATTCACTGTTGTATAATTTAGTTGAACAAATATTAATTCATATTGGTTATGACGACTATTTTCCAAACCCCTAACATGCATGCAGATTTAAAAAGGTGTAGGGGTACCGAGATAATGCTAAACTAAAAAGGACTTACATTTAAAAAGAAGATCTCCCATGCATGAGGTGTTATTGTGTGAATCATTATTTTTAAAGAGTTATACTTTGAGACGCTCTCTTGACAGGTAAAACAATAAAGTAGGGCCCATTAGGGCACAATGAAACTAATATATGACATATGTACATGTTATAGCCACTTATGTGCAAGTTTAAAATGTTTATTAGTGTATAATAGTACAGGGTGTATCAACAAAATGTACACGTCTTTCAAATTCAAATTAACCGTGATAGCCGTTTTCACATTAGAAGACAGACAAGTCGTCTAGACGAACAAATCGTCTCAAAATCGTCTTTTAGTCGAACAAATCATCAAATGTGAAAACGTGTCGGACAAAATTTTAGACGAACAAGTCGTCTGAATTTGTTCGACTATTTGTCCGTCTGTGAAGACGATTTGTTCGTCTAGACTACTTGTCCGTCTCTAATGTGAATAGGGCTAATCTGTTGTAGTAATTTGACAGCCGTATAATTTCTCGAATTAATGAATGCGTGAAAACATAATGTCTTCTGCGCATGGGAATTTAGGATAACTTCTATTTGTATGAATAAATACACAACTCAAAAAAAAATGTTTAAAGTAAGCATTATTCAAGTCCGCCTAAGATATAAAATGGGCCAGCTTATTGCAGAGCAACGAATTAATATTTAAAAGGTTATGGCTAATTTGAATTTGAAAGGGTGTACATTTTTTTATACAGCCTGTAGATCTAAAAGCAGACAAGTAATTTTTGAACCCCTTTAGAGTTTATATTGGGGCAAACTAATTTAAAAATGGGGATATTTTACAAATTATTTGAACTTTTCATGCATGGAAATTTATTAGGAGCACGTTCGGTTTGAAATATCAAGCAGTAATAAAGAAACATTTTGGAAAGAGAGTAAATATTGTATTAAACTAAAAACACCTGCAGTGCTTAACAGCAATTGCATGCTGAAGATGAATTCAAGTTCGCCAACCTTTTTCCATTACAGTGCTAAATTTTTGAAAGGATGGATTTGTCTTGTGGTTATTGGGAAAACTTGGATTCGCTTGCTGGGACAATTTTGACTGTGTTTACGTTTTGACATTATTTTGACGGTTGTTAATGAAAAAATAGCCAGTTAGTGAATGTTATGTGGAGAAATTTTTATCCCCGAGGCAACGGCGCGGAGCGCCGTTCCGGGCGTATGCCCGGGGCGAGGATACTAATTCCGCCCGGCTATTTACACCCGGGGAAACGAAAGCATTAGCGAAGTCTAAAGTTCATCAATGATCGCGGGCGTGGGCCACCAACGAAGTTTCGATGGGTGGTCATCCTCACTGATCTCAAAAATATGGCGGACTGTCGTGAATAGCAGACACTGATTGGTCAAATTTAAAGTTTGCGTTTTAACGACTGCATGGCGACAGCGAAATAGAAAACATTTCTTGATTTTCTCACAGCATAGATACTGGACCAGAAGTGTCACTCAGAAGATATTTTGTCCGAAATTTAACGAGTGCTGACATGAAATTACGCCATCATATGACGCATTCTGGAGTGCACATAGACGTTTTCATAGGCCAAACATGGCCAAACACGTACAAAGTGCCGTATGCACTCCAGGATGGCGTCATAGCACGTAAAAAATTTCGGACGTTTTCCTTCAGCCAAAACATATAGGAGTGTCTTTCTGGTCTGGTATCTATTCTGTGATTTTACGATTGATGAATGATGATCTCTTGCAAATATATTTCATTTTTGCAAGATTTTCTGAATTTGAAAAGCTTTTTAAAAAAGTAAAGGCGAAAGAATTACTAAAAGAAGGGAGTAAAGGCACCGACGTTAACGAAGGTAGGTTTTTTTTAAATGTTGATGCATATATTGTTCGCTTCATAACGGCTTAGAAGCTGATCGTTGCGTATATTTTAAATGAAAAAGACAGCATATAATTTCGGTGTTTCTTTATTGATTGATCTTTTTTACTAATGCGAGAATTTGAAATAATTTTGTTTCAAACTCAAAGTTTTTCGATAAAGCAGGCAGTTTAGTTTGATAAAGAATATTTTAAAACGTTTGAGGTTGAAAAGAACATTTTTAGCGTTTGAGGTTGAATTTTACCTTAAAAGTGATATTTTTAGGGGATTTTTCATTTGTAAAAATATTCTTAATAAAATTATAAAAATATTCTTAATAAAAATATTCTTAATAAAATTATCTTTGCCCCCCCCCCCCCACTTTTTAACAATGGTCAATAATAAACCACAAAGTGAATTGATATTAGTTCAGTTACATGTGCAAAGAAAACAATTTGAGATATTTTATGACATTTTGTCATCTTTAGAACTATGTAAATCTCCTTCTAAGGTGCAGGTAATGGCATTTCAGAGATTCCAGTTTCAACATTTTTCCGCGGGTCATGGCCCCGGACCTCCCTAAAGTCTCACCCGCCTTTGGCGGGCTACCCCACACACACACACACACACTTTTAGAGCCGCTCCAACAACCCTGCGCTAAAACCAAAAAGCCTGTTTATAAATCTCACAGAACTGATGATGTAAACAAAATACAGAAATAATACAAACGTATTAATAAATATACCGCGAGCAGGGAGAAATGAGGGACCGCCGACAACACATCAAGAAACGAAATATGGCCCACTTTTTGCTCTCTAATCAAGTTGGCTCCGCCTTTGCATAAACATTACATATATCCAATTAAATCTATCCAATAGGAAGCATTAATGTCATGTTTATTTATAAAATGAACATTCAGTCTGGAAATTATTTACAGCATAATTACTAACGTATCAGATTTGATTGACGGGCGTATCGATTTCGACCAATGGGAATTTTACATTGTGTGGGCAACGGTATTGTCTAAAAGTACACACGAGTGACCACGAATGACCACGAGTGATTCTGTGTTTAAAAACCCATAAAATAATAACAAAAACTATTTTAAGGTGCCTCTTTTGGGGTTTCGCATTATTTAACAATTATTCGCCGAAGGCGAGGTGATTATCGGGAATTATTATAAATTTTGCATATCAAATGAGCTTTCGCGCGTTCTGATTGGCTAGTTGACTAGTAAATCTGACGCATTATTTACTAGTCGACTAGTAAATAATGCTTTTCAAAAAGAATGATTCGGCAAATTTGGTTTCAAAATCGACAAAATATTGAAAAAGTTGTCGCCAGAAAACGAAAGAAGCACAAAATGTTGTATTTAACTTGAAAGGTAGATTCCTTTATTATTTTACTGTGTCAAACATATTCACGAACAATTTAAAACTTATCTAAAACTCCGAAACATTCAATTCAAACAAATATAGCAATAACTATCCCGACTGTTGGGAAAAACCTTGCCGTGATATTCTTTTAAATCCATTTCTTTTGATATGTCGTCTCTTCATTGTGCTGTATGGTGTCCTGCCGCTGTATTGCGTTTTCGAAACTTGTAAAGTGAAAAGTGTATTAAAACTTTATTTCGAGGCATTCGAGCAATAGTTTTACGTTTCACTTTACCAATTTTCTCAGCCATTTCCTGAACAAATTAATGCTAAACAGAAACTATTCTTTAATTCCAAGTCTGGTGAAAAAGTCATTCCACATTTTGTTTATATTCCAAGTAGAAATCAAGAAAAACGACTTTGTAAAAAAGCAGAAAAGTCACAAAGGAAGCTATTTTGAAAGCGTGCGTGTACAAAAAACACTGCAACACTATTAAAACAGTAACCGTAAAACCGGCCGAAAACAGTTTTATTTCTCAATTTTTATTAATAAAACTGATATTTGGATATTTTGTTTTACTCACTAAAAATTTATACTAAAACAATTATTCGCCTCAGGGTCAGTGATTACGGTGAATACTCACCTCGACTTCGTCTCGGTGGATATTCACCGATAATCACTTCGCCTTCGGCGAATAATTGTTAAATATACGCCGAGACGAAGTCGAGGTGAATATTCCCCGATAATCACAAAGCCTGAGGCGAATAATTGTTTTAGTATTTTTACACGAGTCTTTTGTGCTTTTTGGGACTGAATTTATTTTAATTTCGCTTATTTCTTTATCAGTACTCTTTCACAAAACGGTTTGGCCACCATTTTGAAAATTTAGGTTTTGTTATATTCACTTGTAGGTGAATTAATACGTCAAATTTGACCAATCAACTTATAGGAATTGTTATGTTCACTTGTACAAAAATACTAAACTACACTATCAAGTATCCAGAAAACTCCTGTTTCTTCACTTTACATGACATGAAGACGGAATTTATTGGACGCATTCACAATTCTCCTGAACATTGCAATTTGCTACTTTTGCGCTGAAGGTCCGTTATCATGGCAACAGCGTGCTTAGGATAATTAAGCTCAAAATTTGTCTTTTTCTGGCCATTTTAAAAATTCCCTTCATTAAATTATTTTAAACTTTGCATAAAAGATAATCATCGTATAATGATTTTTTCAATTTTAAGGTGGCTCGATACAGTTTTCAGAAATTCAGGTGTTTAACACTTTGACATGTTCAAACTACGCATTTTTAGGATTTATTCGGCAGATATTGGGTTTTTTATATATTTTGATATCTCTACTTTCAAATTATATTAGTTATAGTAACAGATAGTTCGTTGCTATGACGACATACGTGTACGAAATTCACTCCAAAATGGCCTCTATTCTCGTATAGCTGGGAAAAAAGCTTGGTGACCCCCAATTTTTTTTCTTGCATTATTTTACTTAGACGAAAAACTAACAATTAGCAAAAAATAAAAAAATTCTGTAATGCCATTTTTTTGGAAAATGCGAAAATGTGATATTCTTCTGTAAATTTTTTTTGGCATTACAGAATTTTTTATTTTTTGTATGATGGAAGTTTTTAGCGATGCAATACTGCATGCAAAATTTGAACATAGGACACCAGACAAAATAAAGACATATAGCGCATTGTTTTTCTAAAATGGAAAATTCTAATGACGTCAGCAATTGATATAAAACGCTATAGAACACGCGCAATGGCGTGATATGGCGCGAGCAACTGCTCACGTCAAGTCAGTTTGGAAGTTCTTTCATTTTGTTAATCAGTTTCCGCGACCTGCGCGTAAAAATTGTTACCCGGTTTTGAGTTCGCGATTCTTGAGCAGAGTTTTTGTGATAACTATATCGAGCCACCTTAAAAATTCTATCTAACGTTTTTTAGAAAGTTTCAAAAGCGTCACAAATCAATATTAAAAATTTCCCTTAAATAAAATTTTATGAAAAAAGGATATTGAGCTTGTTAAGCCGATGTTAAGAAATGTGTAAAGTTTTAAAAAATTTTACCGAAGGAAAAGGGAGAAATTTAGGTATACTTTTCGCATTTTTTGCGAGATGTGGCGTGTACAATTATCACATCTGACGTGTACAATAGTCGAAAAATTTAAAAATTTCCAGAATTGACTTTTAAAATGGCAGGAAAAAGACAAATTTTGAGCCTTATCCTAAGCACGCTGTTGCCATGGTAATGGACTTTCAGCACAAAAGTGGCGTGTTGCAATGTTCAGGAGAGCATTGTGAATGTGTATAATGAATTTCGTCTTAATGTCATGTAAAGTGGAGAATCAGGCGTTTTCTGGATACTATAGTGTAGTATAATACAAAAACCCCTAAGGAGCCACCTTAAAATAGTTTTTATTATTATTTTATGATTTTTAAACACAGAAATCACTCGTGGTTATTCGTGGTCACTACTCCCGCGTGGTCCCTCCTGGTCATTCGTGGTCACTCGTGGTCATTCGTGGTCACTCGTGGTCATTCGTGGTCACTCGTGTGTACTTTTAGACAAGATCGTGGGCAACGTGTATTTCGTTTCTTGATGTGTTGTCGGCAGTCCCTCCTTTCCTTTCGCATGCCAGGAAATCTAAACCCGCGGAAAGGAGGGAGCGCTCGCAGTCTAATTAATAAAATGCTTTAATTGCTATATAGTGTGGGTTATATTTGAGATTAAGTTAGTTTGTTCCGCTACGAACCTCTGAGATATGAACTCACTGCTGAAAAGATTTTCTGCACCGGAGAAGAGCTGCCATCGCGGCATGACTTGAGTTCACGGCATGACATGTTCACTCTATTAATATTTGTAAAATATAAAGTGTTGCTTATGATCATTCAAGATTTTATATTTTGGTAATTCATTGACTTTAAAGTTATTAATACGATTTATTTTGCCAATATTTTCCCGTTAATTATCCTTTAAGGGCAACCATATCCTCCGTTGCACGTGTGGATATAAATGTTATTCTTTCACTTTTGTCTTTTGGATTTATACGTTCGCTAGTATATGTAACACAAACGACATACAAAAAAATTAACAATTAAGGTTGCTTGTGTCATGCAACTTTACAATGGCTGTACGTTGCGAGAATAATCTACATGTTTCTAACGAGTTGTTTAGGCTGCTTATTTTTAATATTTTACACAAGGCTGTCAAACACGGCAAACAGTCAAAGAGAGCTTGACAAACCCGGAAGTTTAAAATACGTGACAAAATATAAAACCGATTTTGCAAGTTCTCAAACCGCAACTCAGCATGGAAATTATGCCTCCTCCGCAGGCATCGCCTTTAGATTATCGGGCAAATTTTGCTTGCAGGCAAAAAATTGTACCACGAGATGCCTGCGGAGGAGGCTACATGGAAGTGAGGTTCGCATTGCGTGCCACCAGAGGTTCCCGCCGTTCCTTCGTACAAATTACGTCTTTAGGCAGTTTACGCATGACGGCGGCACAGGACAACGGCTAAACAAACTGTTTGAACTAAATGATTAATTGTATGGAAATATTGTCTTGCATTTACTTTCGTATGAATTAAATACAGTTTCGAAAAAGTAAAACAGAAGCTTTAACCTTTAGAGCAATTTCAATCAACTCTGCAAGAAAATTGCCCGCCACGGTTTGAAATGCTAGCGTACTCTACGAGACGTGAAGATATGCGTCATTAACTGAGGTTGGACGACGTCTGAAAATCCTGCTATACTTTTAATTATTCATTTATTTTGTGCTACAGGATTAATGACATTGTATTGATAGCCGTCGTCCTGACGTTGCCGTCTTACATGCGTAAACTCCCTATTTATAATACGGGGCACAAAAACCTCTGGAACCAGGGTAGGCTAAATACGATACCCTTGCTATTATGCGCTGCCACGAAGAATACCGTAAGCCAAGGATAAATCTTGGGTACTTTCCTGGGCCCAGTTTTTCGAAAGCCGGTATACGTGCATACAGAAACCGCTCGCCTTGTTAGGAAAAAACCACTATGTTTTCCAAACATGAAGTATTTTAACAATTAAGGGGTCGCCATTATTGGGGAAACTGTGCCGAACAACAAGGGCAAATAATGTTAGCCAATCAGCGCGTTTGTTTACATTTTGCGTTCTTGACCAATCAGAATGCCTGAAATTCGAAACATGTAAACAAAAGGAGTGAGAAAATAACACCTTGTTCTACGCCCTCGGTGACATTCGATATTAAACTTTTTTCGCCAAAACTGACAAATTCTGCTAAAGCATGCTTTCTTCTTTAATTTCCTCGGGGGGATTTTTAAAATTCGATCTAGAACGCGAAATATTTATGTTTGAATAACAGTGTTTCGACGCGCGTAAAATAGCAGACTCTCACTTGCACTATCTTTACACACACATAAAAAATGGTAGATTTGGCAGTTTAAACTTATTTTCCCCACACCACAGCTGACATGTTTTTAAATTTTACCTATCTGATCTCATCGATCTCATTTCGCATCGGAAATGCGTCACAACGATCCAGGACTGACAGGTACAATATCGCATGACTCATCACTCATTACTGTACATTAATAAAAGTACATATCCGGTTGGCAAAATGGCGATTGTCTGCAAGACCTTCGCGAAGGGCTTAATATTTTTGCTAATAAACTGTTCACGAGGGTTTCGTTCTGTTCGTCTTCTGGTTCGTCGTTAATCGTCATCGGCTGCCTCACTTTCTTGGTCGCTTTCGTCCTCTTCAAAGCAAGTCGCCGGGGCAATCAGCGTTACTATTTGCTGTCTTTCGAAGACCTTCCAAGAGCTTCAACATTTGCCAACGTTGTTGCTTCACAAACTGGGCAATCGCTGATGTTGGGCAGGATGCATTCGATGTGGAACGTAGGTCCACAACCACGGAAAACGTTCCAAGTGTATTAACCTTTTCGCAGGCAGGCAAATCGCAGGTAAGATTTATATTTTATATTTACAGATCTTGATACATTTATAGTCAGCGTCCTTGGAGATTGTTCCAAAATATGAGTGTGTGCCAAAGTTAAAATATTACTCATAATCTCCAGAACATGTTTGGACAATGTTTTGAATCACTGCAGTTTAGAATTAGCAGTCGTTTTAAAGACAACAGAACTGGCATGCAGCCATGCCATGACACCCCATAACTATTCAGTGTACAATACCAGACAATGTAAATTACCACCTCCCCCAACCCAGAAGTAGGCAGTTTTTATTTCCCAGCACTGCATAATCAAAATTGCTGGATTGTATAAATGTCTGGCTTTGTCTCAGTGGCCCTGCTTTGCCCATGAACCCCACACTTCCTAGATTCAAGCAAGCAGGGACTTACATTGACTGGTACTTAGGTCCTGTTTATATCGAAGCCGGGCTGGCCAGCTAAGTGAGACAGCCCGGTAAGCGAGATCTCGCTATATGTAGTTATTTTTGTAGTAAAAATTATTGTGCGTTTATATGGACAAGTGGGCTGGCCAGGTTGCCGAGATCTCACTTGAAAAGAGGTGAGATCTCACTTGAAAAGAGGTGATCTCGCTTACCGGGGTGGAAATTTCTCCATATAAACCCTCACAAGCGGGCTAGCCCAGTTGATGGGATGAAAGATACCGCCGCAAGCTATTTTTAACAACTGTCAAAACCAGCAAGCGGGATGAAATTTTCTCATATAAACACAAGAGAAATTCATCCCACCTGCCTGTCT